ACTGAGAGTCTTCTTTTACAGGTACACTTCTTTGGGGCTTTTATATTTTAGGACAGAATCATGTTTAGTTATTTTTAAGTCATGTGACTTAATTTCAGCTCAACTTGCCCGCAATGCTAAATAAATTGTTAGGGCAAATAATAAAGCCTAGTCAATTGAGTCTGTTATATTTAAATAAAAGTAATAGTTTCCCCTGTCACCTGAAGCTAACCACAATGTTATCAATATTTGCTTTGTAAAAAGCACTGACACTAACGACAACACCTCAGCTAAGCACATTGGGATCTTGGTGTTAAAAAGGGATTAAAAAAGGGGATTAAAAGGAGGTTAGGGCTTTCCCCATAGTTCTCCAAAGGGTAACGGGAGGACACAAACTGGCGTCCTCCCGTCACCCTAGGCTCAGTATACCGTGAGCTACAGCTCGCCGTATACTGAGACGCCGCAGCTGAAACGGATCCCGACAATTATGTCTGGATCCGCCCAGCTGTGTGAGTGGCAGCTGTCTCTGCCTATTTAGAGGCAGAGCCAGCTGTATCCGCCCCCTCCCCCGTCCGTTCCGCCAGTCAGCGCTGGAGGATCGGAGCAGGGAGGGGGGAATCTAGAAGACTAGGCGGCAGCCTACCAAATCTGGAAAACAGATGCCTTAAGCTGAAAAGCCCAAGAGGCACTTACTGATCTAGTGGAGTGTGTTCTGACAGAAAAAAAAAATGGAACCTTATCCTTAAACCTATAGGTTTGAATGATGCGCTCCCTAAGCCACCTTGAAATGGTGAAACGAGAGGCAGACAGTCGCTTATGTGGATCCCCGGGAATGAGGGCAACAGTCAGTCCAAAAAATAAATAGCTGAAAAATAAACTTGAACAGCTCCCACAATTTCCAAACAATGTTTGGAACCTCCTTGGGATCTAAATACATTCCATGGGACATAGGAATAGAACTACAATGTCCCGGTTAAGGTGAGCTTGGAAAATAAAAAAAATAACAAAAAACAAAACACACACGCCTTGGGAACAAGAAAGGGTTGTTTACAAGAAAGCGCCACCAACTTACGGAAATTACCTCTTTGAAGAGTTTTAGAGGAGCTGCTGGCATCTTCTCTTCTTCTAGATAAGAGACCCAGTTCCATGACTTCTTCTTGATTGCTGGTGCTAATGGTTAAAGAATTGTAATAACTTATTAAGAACATAGTGTACATTATTTATAAAATAACATACATTAATTTTAAAGTAACAAAATAATATTTTTATCACTGGCTCTTCTACCATACCTGATTTTGTTTGCTTGGAAGGTTTTCGACCCTTGTGGTGGACTTTGACCTTATCCTATTTGTAAATAAAGTGTTAAGGTAAGTACAGTATTAATACTCAGCAAATTAAGATTCTTAAATGTTTCATATTGAGACAGTTGTATTTGTCATAAAGATAAAGGTTTGTTGCAAGGGCTATACTGTCTCTGGATAGCAGTCTTATTCTTAGTGTTCTTGATTTGGGGTTTTCCTATCAGAGGCTAACACAGGGAAAATAGACAGAAATGTTTAATAGTTATATATAGTTATTTCAGCAGCTTTGTCATTTTCCAGTTAGGCTTTCTGATTTTTTTAAATTAGGTCTTCTTTAAGAACTCTTGTTCTTTCCAATTGAAACTTTTGTTAAGGGATGATTCTGCTTAAAAGGTATGTAAACAAATATACAGACTGAGGTACAGGACCCCGTTTTCTTCAGATGTAGCCAATAGTAGCTTCCACCGGTGCTATAGTGGCTGGGCAGCCATTCCAAATATGCTGCATGAGCCCGAGTGTTAGTTTGGGATGGGGTGGGCTGGGGGTATGGCCGCGAGGGAGCTCCATCCATACGTGCATTGCTTACGGCTCCCTCGCATGCTCTGTAGAGGTGCCTGGACCGGAGTGACGTTACATTCTGGCTCCTGTTCAATCACCCGCACCAGAACGTGCAGCAGTGCAATGCCGTACATTCCATTGTGGTGTGTCTTGGGTCGCAAGTTAATTACCAAGGACAAATGTGGGTCCTGAGATTACACAGGCTGAGAACCACTGACCTAAAGTATTATGAGATTTCATAATTATCTAAGCCCGTTAGAAAATTCCTCCCATCCTTTTATGGGACAACACACTGGTCCATCACCAATAATTGATTATGTGTTATCATTTCCATTGCCCCTAGGATTCTTTATTGCTAATGGAAAAGGATAGCTTTCAACACTGATGATTCTCTTACAGCTTTCTATATGAAATGTTCCACTTTGATTCAGTATAGAGACATCTCAAGTGAATTCCCTTTCATTTGTCTTATCTTGCACCTAACTCATTCATGATGTCACTACACCAGACAATGGATATTTTAATTAATAATAGATGCTGAAGCGGTAAACCATCTGATATTTTATATCTTGGGGAATCCATCAGTGAGAAAATTAGGCTTGAGTCCCTAGGTCTGTGTCCACTCTAATAGGTTTCACCTTGCTGGATTTTTTTTTATTTATTTCACATTAAACAAAAAAGGCAAATGGATGTGCTGTAACATACACCCATAACTTCCAAGTTGACAAGAGCAGAGTCAGAAATTATGGCAGGGAGATCTCACTACAAGAAGCATCCAAACCACATTGGTAGTCAAGGACTGTCTCAGCCCACTAGGCTCCACCAACCACAAATAAAATACCATGTTGTTATTGCTGTTAAAATTCTAAAAACACACCACCTACATGCAGTATGTAAAAGATGACGGTAATAAGGAGTAATACAGACATGCACTACCTCTTCTTCGTCTATAAAGTCTTCTTCATCTCCAGAATCCATTAGCAGCTTTCTCTTTTTGCGCAGTCTCTGAGGACGCTCATTTTCTGTACTGGTCACAGGGGCTGTAGGCATTGTTGGTGGGGTAGGTGTAATTGTTTGCTCCTCTACAGGTTGTGACATGCTTTTACTGCAAACATATAACCATAAATATTGCATTTAATTTCGCTGTAGGAAAGTGGTGCCCATGTGCAAATGAATTCATGCATAAAAACACTTTATACAGAAGACTTCTGGGAGAACATATGACATGAACGTTTTTGGCAGTAAAGCCTGGTGGCTTGTCTAAAACAAGAATAATCACACACCTAGTTCTGCCTTCACTAGCTTCATGTTTGTTTCAGCTTTGTGACTTGGAATGGACTGATACCAGAGAAAGTCAGCCAATCAGCGTTCCTAGAATGGAGAACAGCAGTGGCAGTCTACAAATTTCTGTCATTACAGGTATTGTTGTTTAACCCTTTTCCTGCCACTGCCGTAAGGCATACGGCAGAACAAAACTGTTCCCAGCTGGCCAGGTCAGTATGCCTTACGGCAGTGGCATTTACAGTTCTTCTATAAGCACTATGAACTTATCGTAGAACTGTTCCCTGGACAGTCCCCTTTAAATTAATAGCTGGCAATAGCTGACAGCTATTAGCAAAAATTTCGCCCCCCCCCACCGCTGCTGGCATCTGGAGCCTCTTATCCCTGCCTGGAGCCGCTCCAGGCAAGGATCTGTGTCTGCATGGATCCCCCTTCTCTCTCCCGCTTGTAGGGGCTGAGGCAGCAGGGATCCGGAAAAAATCTCTGGTGGGGGGGGGCAGGATCGAGCGGCATGAGAGAGCGGCGGCGGGGAGGAAAGAGGAGCTGCTGTCATCCTGTCAGTTTCAGGATGGCAACGGCTCTGTGCGTGGCTGAGCGGAGGATCGGTAAATAACTTTGATATTTACCGATCGTCTGTGTGCAGCACAAACACTGGAGCGATCGTCTGATCACTCTAGTGTTTGTAAATAACTGGGGAAACATAGTACTATGTGTCCCCGGTTATGAATGAACAGGATGTGACTTACATCACTTCCTGTTCATTCATGATTTTCTCACTGGGGAGAAGCACTCACTACAGAGGCTTTTCCCCATTCTGAACCTGTTGGATAGTAAATATTTTATGACCATCAGTTTCTGAATGAATGGGAAGCCTCTGTACTGAGTGCTTTCCATTCATTGAGTGCTGAGGCTGCAGAAAAAGAAATGAGGACTCTGTGTCCTCAATTTCTTTCTCTATTTCAAAAGGGAAATGTCAGGGGTCTGTTTAGACCCCAGATATGCCACTGTAGCCCCCCAACAGTAAAAATAAATTAAAAAATTTAAAACAAAATATGTGTAAAAAACCCCAAAAAAACTAAAAAAAAAAAAAAAAAGCACCCCCCCCCACATAACATACACGTGCACCATATTGGGGTGTACGCCATGCACATGCGCTGCAGTGCGTTGTTAGAGCGCATCGCAGTGCATGATTTTTTTTTTTTAATCTTTAAAAAAAACATGAATTTAACTGTGGCAGCGCATGGCGAAGCTTTGTGATGCATTGCCATGCGTTGTGATACCTTGTGTTGCACTTAAATGTACGCCTGTATCATTATCGCATTATCGCAGGGCCTAAAAATTTAGCAACACCATAATTTTATTATACCGGGCCTGCGCTTTCAGAAACAAAGATATGGTTTGGGGGGTCTTTTACAAACGTTAGCAGTGCAGCAGTTGAAAATCAAATCAATGGGAAAAATTGCAAAAATGGCGTGGCGAGCTGATTTGCAAAATGTTCGAGGGCTTGGCACCGAAAAGGGTTAAAAGGAAACCTGCACTTACAGCGCTACAGTGGCAGACATTACTGACCTGAAAATGCTACTAACCTGGCACAACCATGCAGATCAGGAAAGTAAGTCCTAATGTGCATATTTGTTCCTGGTTAGTGACTAAAAAGGTACTGAAGCTGCTGGACCAGAACGACAGATTGGTATATGTATTTGAAGAAGGCAACAATTGCAACCTTCTTGCCTAGGACAGGTTTCCTTTTTCTGATTTCTCTGTCTCCATTTAAAAATGGACGAAAATGTTTTAGTTAGCTCCAAAGAACTATGGCCTTATGAACTTACCCCTCCTTAGCTGTCTCCTTTTTCTCCATTACTTCAGGTTTCCCCTGAATGGTGCCTTTACTCTCTAGAATAAACCATATTGAATACAAAGTTGGCACAGCTGTTGCAAACGCATTCACATGTTTACACATGTCATTTATACATACCCTGTATAGCGGGTGGGCAAATGGTGCTTGTAAGGCATTTTTCTTGAATGTGGCCATTAGGAGGAGCGATAGTAGTGTCAGAATCTGTAATAATTTCCAAGGTGCCAAACTCACAGAGCCGAAACTGGGTGCAAAGATAGCAAAGAAGGTTTATTATGGTACACCGTCACTAAAAGGTTATTTACAAAAGACCTCAGGCACATCTCATTCCTTTACCTTTAAGTTAAAAAACCAGGACTCATTGATGCACCCAAAGTCAGCCCTCAATTCAACAATATTTGTAAATAGGTAAAGCCACTCACAATAATTCACCTTAGCTCAGGAGTAGCCAAACTCTGGCCCTCCAGCTGTGGTGAAACTACAAATCCCATGAGACAGTGCAAGATTCTCACAGCCACAGACATGGCTCCCTGAAAGAGATGCGTCATGGGATTTGTAGTTTCACCACAGCTGGAGGGCCGGAGTTTGGCTACCCCTGCAGCTGGTAGTAGTTACATTCAAATGGGCTTGTTCTGCAATGTTGAAGGCGTTTTGTAGCTTATCCAAGCAACTTGACACCATGTGAGGTGTGAGAGTTGTGGAACTACCCTGTTCTAGTTACATAATCCCAGGGGGTTCCACAACTGTCACACCTCCCATCTTGTTCTTGGACAATCAACTTCTGCCTTGAAACATTGCATGGCAATTGGATTAAGGTGTCTGTGTTACCTGTGTAGATATAAATGTTGGGGTATGTTTCCTGACACTCATCACAACTGGCTTGGATAAGCTACAAAAACGTCTTCAACTTTAAAGAACAAGCCCTGCTAAATGTGACAACTACTAGGCATAGCGTGACGCAGAAAAAGGAGAACCTTCACAAAAGTAATCTGCGTTCCTTTGGAGCTGAAAAACTTGATTAAAAACTGTTTGGAGGTTAGGTCTTATGCAAAGGTTGGGGCACCTCTAGCACATGTTTTTTTATATTCACAGTGCAACAAAATCTCTGACGGAAAATGTTAATGTACAATTACTATTTAAAAATAATGCAAGTTGTGGTACATGCAGAAATTTGGACACACCTTAAAAACTACCCAAACGAGTTATCTAAAAAATCCTGCTTAAAGTTTCCTGAAAGAGAAGAGCTCTTATAGTCACCTATAGGAAGGCCAGTGTCTTCTTCCTTCCCTCTGTAAGACCCCTCACCACTTTCAGGAGCATCCGATGCTTGTGTTCCCAGACCGCACACCATTGTTCCATTTTCCGACCCATATGTCACTGCTAAATTCTGTAATGTTGAATCGGTCAGAGGATGAAACCATAGCATGGGCCAGGGGATACAGACATCCAAGACACCTGTAAGTGTTAAATGCCAAAGAGTGTTAAAGTGGCTGGAGCACTGGAAATAAAAAAGGGCAGGAGACATATGGCCATTGGAGAGCATAAAAACTATTCTGCACGGAATGAATCAGTAGAATTGACTGTATAATCTAAGAGGGTCACTTGAAACCTAATGTGACATTAAAAATTGGAATATAAAAAAGGAGGAGCTTGGTTAGGTTGTGAGACTGTTTTATATATTTTCTTTTTCAAATGTTCACTGCGGTTATATTATGGCATAACGTGTACCCGTATTTCACTTCCAGGAAGGGTCGCGATACCGTTGCTCCAGTCCAGTGCATTCATAAGGTCAAAGTCTACAGCAGGTCCCTGAGACATTTCCCTTTACCACCTGGAGACACACAAAGAAAAAACAATATATATAAACTATTACATTTTATTCTTATATATTATTTTATATCTTAAGTTCTGGGGTCTTAGCACGCAATAATAGGTTAGTGTTTTCCTGTAGCCTGAGGTGCTGAGCTAAAATCAGTAGCCCAGGTCTTATTTCTCTACTTCTTGTGGAGCACTACTGATGATTGATATAATAGTCCATTGACTGATAAAATGCTGCATGCTGCTGTTTGGTATAATAAGCTGTTGTGTTGTAATATGCACTAAATTGATATAGTGTGCAGCTGCATTGTTTTTTAATATTTGTTGGCTGATTGAATTTGGTTTTATACTGCTAGGTGATGCTGCAATGTGATATGCTAAAGTGGTGGGGCATAATATACTATTGTTGTGTATTATAATCTCAACAGGGTACAATATATACAATACAGTACATGTTACCGGTAACAGAGAATAGAATATTAGGCATACCATGTACAAGGGACAGTTTTTACAAACAGCAACTCTGCCATGTGAGCTTATTGCCAAAAGCACGAGATCTCAACAAGGTTAACACAGGTGGTATTTCTAATGGTTTTAGATGGTTACAGGTGGTCTCTAGAAATTTGTATGGGGTATTTGTTATGTAAAAACTAATCACAAAAGTGCAAGGTGTTTTGTGATTGTACAAGGGGAGATTGTTATGTTTACCTGCCCTTCTCCTCCCCTTGTCCATTCACAGAATGCCTTCCATGCATATGCCTTCCAAGAATGCAAGACGTTTTATGTATGGACAAGATGGAGAGTGAGCAACCCACTATTATCACTGTACTAGAGCTGGGATTGTAGATTTCAGCAGAAGTTTGGCGCTTACAGTACTCTCCACGATAAATGAAAGTAAGAGTTTTAACTAAAGCAGCACCACCCGCACATGGTATACCGATCATAAAAGAGGGGATTTATTTTTACATAACAAATATCCCAGAAATATTTTTTCCCAGGTGGTCAGCTTTGACGTTTGGAGTTTTTGCAAACAAATGATATACAAAGCAGACATTAGTACACAGGTATTAAAATTAACAGATTTTTTTTAAAAATATTGCCACAAAATTAGTAGTTGCTGGCAACTAATAACCCTATTTCAAGGAGCATTTGAGACATAAAGAGCAATACCAAGGGAAACTTGATTAGAATGTTTGGTAAAATCTGGTTGACCATGTCATCACTTTAAAGATGCCTTCAGAAGGAGGCTGCCATTGCTAATTTTGTGTCCTGTGGAAGAGAGTTGCAACTTTTGGCAGAAAGGCCGGATCTGCTTTAAGTACGATCACATCTTAAAAGATTTTATTGTAAGTTTATGAGATGGATAGAGCATTTTGCTATCTCCCCTGGCGGAAACTAAAGCAATCAGGAGGGCAGTCTTAAGAGAGTGTGCGCTCTATTTGAGCATTCATATATATACGTTTGAAGAGAGCTATGAGGGAGCCTTGAAGTAAGATTGGGAGGTCCCATGTGGGAGAATTCCTTGGAGGACTCTGCTAATCTAGAATCTAGGTAGATTGAAAATGCTGTTGTTATCTGAGACTTTCGTGTTCTGAATTATAGGCTTTTGTTTGACCCTTCCTGTAGGAAACTTAGCTCCATGTCTACTCCCGGGCGATGAGTTATATTATTGCATTTGAGTAGAGCTGCAGCTAACGATTATTTTCAAAATCTAGGGCTGCAACAACTAATCAGCATAATCGATTATAATCGATTATTTCGGCTATAGAGGACTACAAATCCCAGCAATAGTACATTTTATAGCGCAATGCAGAATATCACCAGCTATAGAGGACTACAACAAATCCCAGCAATAGTACATTATAGCTGGCGGTATTCTGCATTGCGCTGTATAATGTACTATTGCTGGGTTTTGTAGTCCTCTATAGCTAGTGGTATTCGGCATTGCACCACTGTATAATGTATTATTGCTGGGATTTGTAGTGCTCCTCTATAGCTGGTGGAATTCCGCATAGCGCTGTATAATGTATTATTGCTGGGATTTGTAGTCCTCTATACAGCGCAGTGCAGAATATCACCAACTATAGAGGAGTACAACAAATCACAGCAATACATTATACATACAGTGTATAATGTATTGCTGGGATTTGTATTCCTATGTATAATATACAGCACAATGTACCATCAGCTATAGAGGAATACAAATCCCAGCAATACATTATAGAGCACCATGTGTGGGGAGGGAAGTGCAGGCTTACCTGAGCAGTCTTCCAGCAACTTGCTTCTGAGATCGGGCCTGTCTGTCGGCGGCTGTCATCCCCCCACACCTCCTCCTCCTTACTACATCTCCCCGCGTCCCTGTGCCGATCGTGGATGTGGGCGGGTGGTGAGTGTGAGGCGGGAAGGAGGTGTGGCGTGTAGAGCGTTGATGCGGGCGGGTCTGGCAGCGGTGAGCGTGAGTTGGGGAGGAGGTGCGGCGCGCAGCGTGTGTGGAGCCGTGAACAGGGCCAACTGATCGGAAGCCGATTAATCGATTATTGAAAAAGTTGACAACTTTTTCAATAATCGATTATAATCGATTATGTCGATTAGTTGTTGCAGCCCTACATTTGAGCCAAAAAGAGTATTACTTCTAAATGTGTCCATATATGGCCGAGGTTACCTCTATTCTGTTGTTTAGCAGTGTGGATATCACTCTGATAATACTTTCCCTCTTAGAGCCTTACAGTTTTCAGGGAACCCCTGTCCCTTTCAGATACCAGGCTGAAAAGGTGGAAACCATGCACTTGCAGGTGTACTGCTGGTCGTTGTTGAAGGAGATTGGCTTTGACTGGCAGAATCCAAGGTGGGAATACACTAATTTTGCACAATGCAGCAAACCAAGGCCTTTAACCAGGGCAATTAAGAGGACACTGGCATTCTCCTTGAGGATCTTCTGAATAACCTTTGGAATTAGACTGAACAAAGGAAAAACATAAGCTAAGGGGAAGGTCCATGGGTGTACAAATGCATCGAGACCAGACTTCCTTTGTTTTCTTCCTGCGAGAAGAAGCTGGCCAATTTTTTGTCAACTCTCAAAGCAAATAGGTCTTGTAGTGCTACCTATTTGTCTGAAATTACCTCAAAGATTGCCTGATCCAGAGTCCACTCTGTTTCAGATTGCTTCCTGCTCAGAAAGTCCACTAGGGAATTCAACTTCCCTTTTATATGGACTGTTGTAGGTTTTGTTCCACCTATAGAGGAAGATAGTGTTCTTTTAGTGGCATTAATTGATATGACCTTGTGCCACCCTGTGGATTGATGTATGAAAACACCATGGTCTGAATTTTGAACTGAAGTGCTGGAGGATTTGTGCGATTGCACTCAGCCCTCTCATATTTTTGGACTTCTTGCTCCTTCTTGGAGTTGGGGTTCCATGACTTTTGTGTAATTTCTTGTTCCATGTGAGCATCTCAAACCTGGGACCTGGGGTCCGTGGTAATTCTGGATGGGTCTGGCTGATAACAGGGTCCTGTGGTTAGATTCTCTGTCCGTAACCACCAAGTTAGTTATTGCTTGATTGACTGTGGTAATGTTGTTGATTTTTATCCCAGATGGCAAGGAGGAAGTTCTTGAGGGCCTTATATGCAATTGTACCCATGAGACCGCTGGAATGGTCGATGTCACCAAGCCTAGAATTCTCATGATTTCCCTCAAGGAGACTCCCAGAGAAAGTTTTAGTCTTAACACTGCTTTGTTGACATCTTTTCTGATGTTAGGAACAGTTTTATTTTCACAAAGTCCATGTAGTGATATCCCAAGACTGTCACTGTCTGAGATGGGATTAGGTGAGATTTCTCCAGGTTGGTTAGCCATAAAGAGAGGATGAATGGTAGGGCTGGGAACTAAAAGTAGACAATCCCCTTTGGGCCCCCCACTGCAAACGTCAGGAATTTCTGAGAGGACTGTCTGATGGGGATATGAAGGTAGGCATCCCTGAGGTTAACTTTGGCAATATACACATCTGGGGGAACAAGGTGCCTGAGCAAAGATATCGACTTCATGCTAAACTTTTTGTATTGTTTAGGGGTTGGAGATTGAGAATCACCTGCAAATTTTCTGGTGGTTTAATTCTCACAAAATGTGAGTAGCAAGTTCTTCCCTCCTCTTGGGGAACTGAACAAAAAACTTACTAAAACATAAGTCCTGAAGGGATGAAATCAGAGCATGGCCTCTGGGCCTGATCCTTCACTCAACACTGCAGGGCTATGTGATTTATCTGCCGGACTGCTTTTGATACACAGCCCTAGCAGATAGATCATAGCCCACAGCACTATTCTCTTATGAATGAACAATCAGCTCCGTCAATAAAGAACAGTCAGCTATGAGAGGGGGCAGGCAATTAGTGGTGGATGTATTTCTTCCCACAGGAACGCCAACATTTTGGGCTTCAGACTGGGGTGGAGCTACAGCCAGCATTAACATAGATAAAGATGTGCTTTTATTCCGCAATGGGGCCACCAATCATGTGCTATATGTATTTGGTCCCTTAGAGGATAAAATATAAATGCAATATTATTTGTGAGACTTCTTCTTTGAATACTCAAACATGTGCAAGGGAAACTAAAGTGTATGTATAGCCAAATCTTTATTTGTTTAGATTGGAAAATGTTAAAAGCCCTTTAAGGTTATTTTATTTAATTTTTTTGCTCTCGGTATCCTGCAGGGAAAATTTACAGGGCTATTCACAAAAGGGTGAAGAGTTTGGAGAAGTGAACAATCTAGGACAATATAGCTGATTTGGAAAAATTCTCCAATTCAGCTCATTTTCCAGTTCAGTTATGTTGTCCTAGATTGTTCACTTCTCCTGCCTTCTCCAAACTCTTCACCCTTTTGTGAATAGCCCTGTTAATTTCACTTCCTGTCCTGGAGAAGTGATGGAAAGTGAGGGGAGTTATCACCAAATGATTTGTCCCCATAAGACGACTTCATTTTTTAGTTTTCCCATTACATAGTCAGGTTGAAAAAAGACACAAGTCCATTGAGTTCCACCTATAGAGATATATTTTAAAAAAAAGGAAAGCCTAAACAGAACGCTGTGCCCCCAATTGCCCCCTGTTGATCCAGCGGAAGGCAAAATAACCCCCTATAAAGCATGGTTCAATTTGCTCCAACAGGGGGAAAAAAATCCTTCCTGATCCCAAAAGACAATACTTTCTGTCTCAGTGACAATGGTCACCAAGACAAATAGATAGATAAATCTCTCCAGCGAGGACAAAGACCGCAAAAACCACTTCATGGACAATCTAAAATTTCTTCATGCTATACAAAATTTTAAAAACAGGATTATTATTTTTTTTAAGTGAATTTATGATTGAAGTGAACATAGCTTGACCTTATTCTCTAGCATATGTCAATATTCACATTCCAAATTGAACCGTCTCTATTCCTGGAATAAAATCAACCAAACTGTGTGCGCGCAGACAACAAGGGACACAGTATAAAATGCCTATAGCTCTGAAGCTTTTCATAGGTCAGCAAAATGAGCCAGACTAGGCCAGTGGTGTTATGGTGTTATTCAGTGAATTAGTGCTTAATTAGTTGGAGTATTACAATAAACGTGCACCAAAGTTTTAGGTATCTCCAAAGACATGGTATAGTAATTTCAGCTACACAGAGGAATACATTTCAGATGGTGAAGAAAATGTACAAGACTTGATGATTATTAGACACGGATTTAAAATGTGTATTTAGTGGCAATATATGACACATAGTGATATAGCTTGGGCTTGGTGTAAACCCAGTTTGCCTACGTTTGTCCAACCCGGCATAAAACGGTGACTGACAACCCCTCCCGGCCCAATCTGTGATGACAGGCACTTTCCCCATCGAAAGGGGCGGCAAATGCCCTCACTGCAACTGTCACCACCAACTGGGCTGGGATGGGGGTGGCGGTGACAGTTTTAAACAGGCTTGGGCGAGCTCCAGCAAACTGGGTTAAAACGAAACCCAGGCTCAATTACTAGTGACACATTGGACCTCATTTAATAAAGTGTCAGAAGAAAGGATACCTTGGCTAAGTTGATGCTGCCCTAGAGCAACCGATTACATTTTTTCCTTATTTTCATATGTGACATGACTGTCATATTTAGTGCATCTATGTATTTTAAGATATGGATTTTAAGGATTTAACAAAAATTATATAGTAGAATGCTCACTCCTGATCTAATTTTACCTTTTATGGCTTCACCTTACCCCTCCAGAAATGTTTCTAACATGAAGTAAAGAATACGTGCACTTTTTTCTTTTGCTCCCCTCCCCTCCCCTGACCTAACCCATCGTTCCGCTCCACTAATGCATAGTTACCAAGATCCGGGGCCTCCCATGTCTGTTACATCCCGTGCTGTTCTCTTTCTCCTGGCTGCACTTGTGCAATAGAGCCTGATAGACTTCTATGGGCCTCGTATACTACTATCTCCTGGGCTGGGAGGTGCATGGTGACAAGCCCCATAGACATCTATGGGGCTCTACTGTGGAAGCACAACCAGGAGAGGACTTTGGCACATTATGTCAACAAACATGGGAAGCTCCACATGCAGCATCTTGGTGGGTATGCATCATTGGAGGGCAAGGGTGGAATCCGTTAGGTCAGGGGAGGGGGTAAAAGGAATAAGAGCACTTTGTCTTAATGTGCATGTATTTGTTCAGGCTCAACTCCAGGCAAATAGCTTTATGCATATATAAAACACCTAGGGGGGAATTGATCAAAACTGGAGCAGACAGAATCTGGAGCAGCTGAGCATGGCAACCAAACAGCTTTTCTCTTTCATTTTCAAATCATAACAAAGCACCTGATTGGTTACTATGGGCAACTGCTCCAGATTCTGCCTGCTCCAGTTTTGATAAATATCCCTCCTAGAGTATATGGAAACGGTCTTTGTTGCCAGATTAAGATTTAAACAGCCCGGTTTAAACCGGTCGGAGAAACACCAGCAATGGTCTGAGTGGGTGATGTCATATCACTCCTCTTGTCAGCAGCGGCACCAGGGTGGGAGTCACCCGATGCAGCCGGCACGCATGCGTTATGATGTCCGTGGTCATCACAATGCACGGTGATGTACTTCACTGCTGGTTGCCATCTTGGTGATGGACGCCAGCAAAGAGAGGAGGTGATATTGAACCAGAGGGAACAGGTATGCTGTCAGGTCCCCTTCACACTCTCATGCTGCTGTCGGGCTCTTTGTCAATGACCGCGTGCCCGACTTTTAAGAGGACGTGACACATAAATGACTGTTAGCCGCCTGGTGCGGGCAGCACCCCCCTTGTGACGCCATTGCTTGCAAGAAAGTCCTTTGTTAAATCATGCAGGACAACCGATTGGCCCCAAGTACTGCCCCTTCTTTCTCCCAGTCAGTAAGATTACAAGATGCTGAAATCAAAGTCAAATTCAGCTACTTACACTAGTCACATCTAAAATACTTTTAATTCTTTATTTTGCCCAACAAACATATTACTGTATTCAGGTTTGTTTGTTTTTTAAATATCTGCTTGCAGTTCAGTTTTAAAAAGCAATTCATAACAAGCATACAAATTACAAGTAACAAGTTTGCACAGTTTTAGAAAATAGCTTTTTTTCTTATATAATATGGATAATAATAAAGTAAATGCAAATACCATTTCCTCTAAACGGCCGATTCGTAAATAACACAGCTGTTGCAGTTCCCCTTCTGGCCGGTAGAGGGCATATGTCCGCACAGGTAAGAAGATGCAGCAACTGAGTTATTCCACAGTAACAGTTAGAATGCTCATATATTCTTACTACACGACACTTCTTTTCTACACTGGCTATTGCATTCCAGATCAGTGTTAAAGAAAAACTCAAAGATGCAAATTATTGTATATATTCCAGTGATAGGAAGCAAAGAGTTTATCATAAAAGTGCTTACTTTTCCTGTAATCCTCGTTTTTAATCTTCCAGTGACGTCACCAGCCTCCTATTTCAGATCACTCCTTCCTGCAGCTAGGAGGAGGAGCTGTGAGAAGCGTTTCACGTCACATCCGTGCATAGAGACTAACTACATATCCCACAATGCGTTGTGAAATAGAGGAAGTGGGAGGATTGTAAAGACAAGTAGAGGGTGGAGATGGGCAGAGCTGAGGGCAGTATCAGCAGTAAATGTACACGCCCACTCCACCCATCCACGCATAACTGCCTCTGGAATCCATTTGCACTAGCCAGTTCGCAAAAACAGCGTGTTTGGTAGAGTGTGGCAGCTCCTGCAGTGTTGTATTGCACATTGCCATAGCTGCCCTCGATTTTCTTGTTTTTTCTGATAAACTTTATTTGGATTACTATTTTGGGGAATTGCCAAATTATAAGACCTACCCTGAAAATAAGACCTGGTTGTGACCATTCCCAGGGCCAGTGGTGGCATAAGGGGGAACTTGAAGAGCCGCGGCTGAGGCAGGAGAGAATCAGCTGTGCTAATGAAGCCAGCGCTAGAGGAAGCGAGGCGGCACCGGAGGGAGCAGAGCCGTATAAGCCGATGTCTCTATAGCGCCGGCTCCTGTCACAGGCAGTGTGATACGAATCGATAGTGAAAATGCGCTTCACTCATTCTGGCCAGTGATTGGTTAGCAAATTGCTCTTGGAAAGGTACGGCACCCCTGATTGCCCTGAGCACCATATTTTTGTACATGAATATATGTAGACTTTTCTACATGAATAATTGTGGATTGTTGTACATTAAAGAAAAAAAAATAAGACCTACCCTGAAATTAAGACCTAGTGTGTTTTTTTGAGCCAAAAAAAAAATATAAGACAGTGTCTTATTTTCAGGGAAACATGGTATATAGATAGATAGATAGAGAGAGACTCAGTCCCATTCGCTGTCACAGAGCACCGAGCAGAGTCGCTCGGTCCTATGCATTGTCACACAGCTCCCAGCAGAGTCACTTAGTCCTTTGTGTTGTCACGCAGCACCCAGAAAGTCACTCAGTCCCATGCATTGTGATGGAGCACCCAGAAAGTCACTCAGTCCCATGCGTTGTCACACAGCAATCAAAACAGTCACTCAGTCCCATGCGTGGTCACAAAGCACCCAGAAAGTCACTCAGTCCCATGCGTGGTCACAAAGCACGCAGAGCAGTCAGTCGGTCAGATGCTTTGTCACACAGCTCAAAGGAGATTCACTCAGCTAGCTGTGTAACAGACTGAGTGACTCTTTTGGGTGCTGTGTGACAACACATGGGACTAAGTAACTCCCCCAGGAACTGAGCGACAACACATGGTACTGAGTGACTCTCCCAGGAACTGCATAACAACACATGGGACTAAGTGACTCCATGGGCACTCTTCAGGTGTTTTGGCAGCTGTCCTTGCAGAATGTCAAAATACAATAGCCATAGTGGAGATTCCTCCATCAACACTGTTTAGTGTGTAAGGAAAAAACTGTTAGGTTACATTCACACATGGACTTTGTGTGGTGGTATTGTTGCAGCAGGAATCTCAGGTGTCCCCGCTGTACACATTGGAGTAAATAGCAGGGTGACAGTGGCGCATGGAACAATTACATGGGGTTTGGGACAGATGTCGGCCTGGAATGCTTCCTCCAGTTTAATTTGCTTTTAGTTGTTTAAGGTTTCTACTTGCTTCTCCTTCTTTGTAATGTTGGGAGGGGTTATGAGGGGTGAGGGGTTTTATTAATTATAGTTGGCAAAGTAGATTTGAACACTGCCTGTCCTAACAAAGGGTTAAAGGATTAAAAGTCTTGCTTTTGCATTGAATGTTAATGAAGTTAATGAAAGAAACACAATCCTCAAATTTCATAGTTACATTTTTTAATTTCCATAGATTTTTATTGAGGCAATGTTCAATTATACAAGACAGGATAAAAGGGGGAAAAAAAGGAAAAGAAAGTAAACAACACAGATGATATACCACATCTACCGGCTTCCCTCCGTCCATATCTCTACTTACCCCCTCATAAAAAGTTAGCAAGTTAGTTAGGCAGGAACGGTCTTTCCTGAACCCATGCTGATTGTCATTAACTATCCCGTTTTCCTGAACAAATTCTACCAGATAATCCTTTATTATGCCCTCTAGCATTTTACAAACTACCGGCCTATAGTTCCCAGGTTGGCACCTAGCCCCCTTTTAAAGTTTCAGTCCTGTTTTTCTATAAAGACAGATCACTGTGAAGGTGCCGAGAAAAATCTGGATTCAGCCATCGTGCCCGCTGCAAGAAAACATCTAAATGTTAAGAAATATTTTTTTAAAGATGATTTTAGGTTTAATATTTAAATATGTTATATGAGTTTAGGTCCATTTAGATCGTTACATAGTTATTTAGGTTGAAAAAAGACACAAGTCCATCAAGTTCAACCTATAGATATTCATATGTTTTAGAGATATGTGTTTTGGATCACGATTTGGGTATTCCCACCATCCCATAGCCCTCAGGTGTTTTCTATGATTTTAGGTATGTGGCGTGAGTCAGAGAAAGTATAACAAACTTTTAATTATAAGCATTTTATATTAAAAAATTATAATACTCTATACCCGTGGTTCTCAACCTGTGTAACCTCAGGACCCACATTTGTCCTTGGTCATTAAGTCGCAACCCAAGTCGCACAGCACTGGAAAGCAAAGCATTGTGGTACCGTGTGTTCTGGTGTGGGTGATCACACTGTGGGTGGGAGGTGCGTTTGGGGTGCAACGCACCTCCTGCACCAGAATGTGCGGTAGGTGCAGGTGCGTGGTACAGTGTGTTATTCACATGGTACTATGTGATTAACACACTGTACTAGTGTGAACGGGCCCTCAAAAACACTGACAGACACACACAACCACAGAAACATTCTCACACACACAAACACACTGCAAAAAAAAAAAAAAAATGTTTTTTTTTAAGATCCACCCAGTCTCCCAACCTTACGAGAACGGGAGTGAATCCTCAGCCTAAGGTCCAGTATAGGCTGCTGTGCTAGATCTCCATCCATATGTGCATTGCTGGTACAGCTCCCTTGAAGGGATGCGCGGTCAGAGAGGCAGAGCGTTATGTTATGGAGGAAAAAGCTGTCAGCTTCAAGTCTGAAATTCGGAGCTTCGGATGTATCCGAATTACAGCTAAAACGAATGCAAACGAACCCGAATTTCCGATTTCCCGAAATTCGTTAGCGGTAGTCTGGTAGTCTGGACGAAATTTAGTTTCAGCAAAATGACATTAGAAAGAAAAAACATTTTTTTTTTTTAGTCTGCAGAAGATGGGGGAAAAAAAGCTTGAGGTTCCCCCAAATTCATACCTAAAGGGTCTGGTATGAATTTGGGTGAAAACTCACGCTTTTTTTTTTTCATCTTTCTGCCTCAAATGTCACTTTGCTGCCACGAACGAACGAAAAAGAAACCAACTTTCGACTGGAATACCGCTAACGAATTTCATCCGAATCCTGAAACGAATTCAATTTAGGACCCGAATAATGCAAAATCTGAATCAAAAGAAAACATTTTTTTTGCTAGTGCACATGTCTACACAGCAGTGAAAGCCTCCCCGCTGTGTAACCTGTCATGGACGGAGTGCTGCCTGTTAATTACAGGCGGTGATGCATCCGGCTTTTGACAGCTAAGTTAAGGTCCCCACACACCTTACGATAATCGTACGATAATCGCGGGAAATCCCGCGATCGTACGATTATCGTAAGGTGTGTGGAAGCCGTGCGACCTCTACTACTGTAAGGTCGCACGACTTTTAACTTACGGACATGTTCGAAAACCCGCCGAGCATCGTACAAGCCCGTTCAGCATTGCGGTCATCGGAAGCCCGCCCCTCAGGGGGCGTGGCTTGCGATCATCGCAAGTACGATCTGCCTATGCAAGATAGGCAGATCGTATGTTTTTTTAAGTACCTTACAACCTTCGCAAGACAAAAGTCTTGCGATGGTTGTGAGGTGTGTGCCCAGCCTTAGGTTACACAGCAGCGGGCTCCCCCACTACTTGTGTAACCTAACTTGGTGAGGCAAGAGCTGTCACAGCCTCTACTCTATGTTAGAGGCGTGAGCTCTGTGGATGACTTGGACCAAAGGCAAAGCGCCATTGGTCCATGCTGTCCAATCAAAAAAAGAAAAAACAAACACTGAGGTCATCGATCTCGATGCCTCAGCAATCGCAAGCGAGTGACAGGGAGGCTCCTCCCTGTCTCCTTCACACTAGCTTGGGGACCGGGTTGGGGGTGGGGCTATGGCTGACAGGGCAGGGTTGTCTTGAGTGGGGTTGGATTGGCCCAAAGGATCCCACCTCCTTCAGTGTTGTTGTGCCTACCCTGTGTGGGTAGTATTATAAGGTTGCACTGGGGGCCAGGTCCTCACAGCATGTTGCAGCAACCCACACATGGGTTTCAAGAGGAGCATAGGTTACAAGCATAGATTGATTTGTGTGTTAGTAATAATATATTACAGAGAAACACCACTGACAGCAGTATAAAGGAGCTAGGAGGAAGTGGTAGTGTCATATTGTGCCTTATAAATATATATTGACTTTACTACCAACACTATCAAATTCACGGCGATAATATTGCACGATCTCCAGTCCCTGCCATATTTAGGTAAGTCTACGTCCCAATGTTTGGTAATATGAGTAAATTAATATCTAGGTCATAGGAGACCATATACTACATAATATAGCTTTATAAATAGTAAATTGTAGGACATGTTATCATGATATTGCAATATGTATCAGTATTTTTCATCTTTCATGATTTAAAAGTGAATTATGTATAAAATAGATTTTAATGGAAATTGTATTGAATTATACTTTATAGTGCCTGCCCAGTCTAATGGAGGTCTCTCCACATTTTTATATTGTCTTCATTCCCATTTGCTGTCCAATAATTATATCCATGTTGGATGCACGTGTGTATTCTACCATCAGATAACTTAACCAGTTTAAGACCCCTTAGTGTTGTCACAGTAAATGTGAGTTCTAGCGGGGTATGATCTCAAACCACTCGTGGCAACTAGGTTACCA